TTTTTTGGGAAATCTCATCTTAAACTCACGGCACTTTTAGGGCTTAGACAATTAATCGTGATTAATTTGCTAATTAACCACTAATGTTATGTTTAATTATTAATTAAACATAATACTTAATTACCAAAATTGTTTCGGACGTAAACGGTACGCCGAAAATAGATTTCGGTAATCCGACTGAACTTAATTAATTCCGAAAATAATAAACAATAACGTTACTATATCGGAATTAAACGTAATTTATACTGATAATATCTCGGGATATTACAAATCCAAGATGAAGATTCCATGCTGGGGTAAAAAGCTGATAAAAACGAGTCTGGAGATGTTTTCTAGGGTTAAGAATGAGTCCCCATGAAAAGTATTCGAAAAAACGAGTAAAAATAAGGTTTTATAAGTTCTGCCCCGCAGGGTACATCAGCGCAAGAGGTGTGACATTCATCATATTTTCATGCATTATGAGTGATATAGTGTGATGTTTAACCGTGTTTATCGTGGGATTGTGCACCATTTTGTTTGATTTATTAATCTATGATGGAGGTATATTTGTCGTTGGTTTTGCAGGAAATATGCCCGAAAAAGCGTTAAAGATGGAATCGGGACGAAAAACGACGAAAAGAAGGTGCAGACAGGTCACACGACTCGTGTGGTTCGTGACACGAGTCATGTGGGGTGAGAAAAATCGAGCTTTTGTGGCATTTTGGTGCGGCTTTCCCACACGAGCCGTGTGGCCCATGACACGAGTCGTGTGGGCTCACACGACTCGTGTGACGTCTCGTGTGAGGTGCTCGTGTGAACCTGGAAGTTTAATGAAAATTGAATAAAAGTCACACGACTCGTGTGGCCTGTGACACGAGTCGTGTGACGCGCAGACAGTCCAACGGGAAATAGGAAACCTACGCGATTTTGTCCCTTTTTCAACCCATTGTTGCCCTACAGTATATAAGGAACATAAAGAACATGGTTTTGGGACTTTTGACACCATTGGAGGCCTAGAGAAAGCACGAAACACACGAGGGATTCGAGAAAGTCAAGATTGAAGATCCGGGGACTAACGGCAACAATAGTTCTTCTTTCTTTTATCTTTTTCTTCTTCATTGAACTCATGGAATTATTTATTTTGAGTATTGAGAATATGTTTAGTAGCTAAATCTCTTTGAGATTCTAGGATTTGCGAGTACTCGGATTATTTTATGAAGTGATTTTGTTTATTCATTCCGGTCTATCTTTCGTTTATCAGTTTCTTGTGATTATATGAATTGTGTGAATATAGGGCCCGTATTTATGCATATTTGTGATTGGCTTGAGACCGAGAGGAGATAGTTGATTGCTAGAATTGGGAAATTCATAACGTAAGAGACTAAACAGACCGAGAGGTTGATAGAATCTTGCGAGGGAACTAGAATCTTAGGAGCTTATGGGAGTTAGTTGTTCATCTTGAGACCGAGAGGAGATAGATAGCAATTAATATCTACGATTTAACTTGTTCGAGAGAAAGGTGTAATTACTTTAGCCATTATCCCTACGATTGGTAGAATTAAATAAAGTTTGAATGAATAAGAAAACTTCGCTAGAATAAACCCGAGAAAAGTATAGCCTAGAATCTATTTTCTCATACTTGATTTATTTAGAATAAGCCTTCTTTAGTCTTAAGAATTTTTTTTGCATTCATTCATTAGTTTAGATCAAAATCACCATTCAAATTCGAGTTAGTCTAAATAATATTTAATCGTCTATATTTTGGTACTTAATTAGTTGAACAACAGTCTCTGTGGATTACGACCTTGCTCGCCGCTTTCTACAGCTACACCGTACACTTGCGGGTAGTAAAAATATTTTGCGAACAAGTTTTTGGCGCCGTTGCCGGGGATCGAACTCGGGTCACCGCATGACAGGCAGGAATACTCACCACTATACTACAGCGACTAAGAGGTGCAATGGTGGAACAAGGTGAAGAGAGGTATAGACAGCTCGAGGCACAAATGGCGGAGCTACAACGCCAATTAGCTGCGCAGCAGGCTCAACAAGAGACAGGAACACCGATTCGAAACATCTTCCAACCTCATGCTGATCAAGTATACAGAGGAGGTCACGGGCCGAGAATTGCGGCTAATACTTTTGAGTTGAGCTCGTCCTTGATTCGAATGGTGCAGCAATAGTTGTTTGGGGAGCTGCAATCGAGGACCCGAATGCGCATCTGGCGCAATTTCTGGAGATATGTGGTACAGTGAAGTACAATGGAGTCCCGGAGGACGCTATCCGACTTAGGCTTTTCTCTTTCTCTCTTAGAGATAAAACCAAGGTGCGGTACAATTCTCTTGAGGTCGGGACAGTGACAACATGGGATGAGATGCGTCAGAAATTTCTCTTGAAGTTCTTCCCACCGAGTAAGATGTTGAGACTTCAGACGGAGATCACTCAATTCAAGCAACAAGATGGTGAGCCTTTATACGAGGCCTGGGAGCGTTACACGCAACTCCTTCGGACGTGCCCACAGCATGGATTTTCGGAGGAGCACCAAATTTACTATTTCTATAATGGATTGAGTGGCCCGATGAAGGCTATGGTGGATGCCTCAGCTGGAGGTGCCCTTTTGGGAAGGCGACCGAACGACGCGAAGAGAATTCTTGAGGAGATGGCATCGAATAACTATCAGTGGCCGGTTGAGAGGACTATGCTCAAGAGAGTGGCGGCTACGAATGAGGCGGACTCAGCCGCTTCGATGGCGGCTCAAATAGCAGCATTGGTGATAAACAACATGCAAGGGGGAAAGGCTGAGAGCTTAGGAGTTGGGGAACCGGTCGAGGACGTGAATTATGTGAATAATCAGAATTTTGGAAATTTTCGAGGACCTCAAGCGGGGAACACTTATTACCAAGGCAACCGGAATCACCCCAGTTTATCATATGCAAATCCGAATAATGCTCTACAACCACCTCCCGGATTTTCGGTGACCAACGGGGTCATCAATGAGCCGAAGAAGCCGACAATCGAAGATATGTTCGCCTCGTTCATGACTCAAACGCAACAATTCATGGGCGAATCTCAGGCTAAGCACTCTACCTTGGAGAAGCAAATGAAGTCAATGGAACAACAAATTGAACAGTTGGCCACAGCAGTAGGAAGTCTACAGCAGAGAGGACAATTTCCGAGCAACACAGAGGTGAATCCAAAGGAACAATGCAAAGCCATCCGTCTAAGGAGTGGCTTGGAGTATGAGGGACCGAGGATGCCAACTAATGAGCCAGAAAAAGTCGAGCCTGAGGAAAGCAAGGAAGAGGAAGAAGTTGAGGAAGTAGTAGTGGAGCCCCCAAAATCAGCAATTACAGGGGCTGAGAAGCCAAAATCTACTTCTAACACTTCTACTCCTAATATTCCTTTACCTTTTCCTCAGCGTTTTGCAAAGAAAAAAATTGACGAACAATATGCCAAATTTCGTGAAATATTTACTAAAGTTCAAATAAATATTCCTCTTGTTGATGCATTGCAGGAGATGCCCAAATATGCCAAGTTCTTGAAGGACATGGTATCTAGAAAGAAGAAGCTCAAAGCGTATGAGAAGGTGAATTTGACGGAGGAGTGTAGTGCTATGATCCAAAAGAAGATGCCTTTCAAAAGCAAGGATCCCAGGAGCTTCACCATAGCATGCATTATAGGAGGAAAGCGGTTCGGGAAGGTGTTGTGCGACTTGGGAGCGAGCATCAATCTCATGCCACTATCAATTTTCAAGAGGTTGGAGATTGGGACGATTAGGCTCACTACGATTTTATTGCAAATGGTGGATAGATCCTTGTCTTATCCGAAGGGGATTGTGGAAGACGTATTTGTGAAAGTTGAGGGGTTTATCTTCCCGGCTAATTTTGTGGTCCTTGACATGGATGAGGATAAGGAGGTCCCGCTAATTTTGGGTCATCCGTTTCTTGCAACCGGGGGAGCGTTGATTGATGTGAAGAATGGCGAGCTTACTCTCCGGGTTGATGAAGAGAGCATCACATTTTCCATATATCAAGCCATCTCCTCATCTATCGTACCCGTGTACCTTCGCCTTTATTTTTTTGAGTCGAATTTTCGAAATTGATGAAGAATAATAATGAGGATGGTGAGATCGAAGAATGTAAAGTGATTGAAGTTGTCGAGGCTTCCTTCGACAATGACATGATTACTTCTTCGTCTAAAGACCCTTTTGATCTATGTGTTCAAAAATCATTATTTTCTTTTTCTTCGTTTGATCCTTTTCAAGAAAAATTATTTAAATGTGTTAATGTGTTGGATTTTTGTAGGGAAATCCCGAAGAGGCAGGCCGCATTTTTGGAGTTGAGACGTGATGACGGGACCAAGTCTAAGTCAAGGAGAAAAGAAAGATGGAGTCCCAAAGTTAGAGTTGAAACCTTTACCGGAGCACTTGAAGTATGCATATCTTGGAGAGAATGACACGTTTCCGGTAATCATTTCTTCTTACCTTTCTAATTCGGAGCTTGAGAGATTATTGAGAGTCTTAAGAGGGCATAAATCGGCGATTGGGTGGTCGATTAGTGATTTAAAAGGTATTAGTCCCTCTATTTGCTTGCATAGAATTTTGCTTGAGGATAACTATAAGCCATGTGTTCAAAATCAACGTAGGCTAAATCCAATTATGCAAGAAGTAGTAAGAAAAGAGGTCCTTAAATTGTTAGATGCGGGGATGATTTTTGCTATTTCTGATAGTGAATGGGTTAGTCCTACACAAGTTGTGGCTAAAAAAGGGGGGATGACTATTGTGAAAGATGAGCATGATGGTGTTGTTGCTACTAGACTTTTGACAGGTTGGCGTGTTTGTATTGATTATCGTAAATTAAATGCCGCTACTCGTAAGGATCACTTTCCTTTGCCTTTTGTGGATCAAATGCTTGATAGGTTAGCGGGTCACGATTTCTATTATTTTCTTGATGGTTATTCCGAATACAATCAAATTTTGATAGCTCCGGAAGACCAAGAGAAGACGGCTTTTACATGTCCTTATGGTGTTTTTGCTTATCGTAGGATGCCTTTTGGTTTATGTAATGCTCTTGCTACCTTTCAAAGATGTATGATGGCAATTTTTCATGATTTAATTGAGAATATTATGGAGGTGTTTATGGATGATTTTTTGGTGTTTGGTACTTCATTTGATAATTGCTTGGCTAATTTATCTCGAGTGTTGCAGCGATGTGAAGAAACTAACCTTGTTTTAAATTGGGAGAAATGTCACTTTATGGTGAAGGAAGGTATAGTTCTTGGGCATCGTGTGTCTTCCGCGGGACTTGAGGTAGATCGGGCAAAAATTGTAGCCATTGAAAAACTTCCACCTCCTACGAACGTGAAGTCGGTAAGGAGTTTCTTGGGCCATGCAAGATTTTATAGGAGGTTCATTCGTGATTTTGCTAAAATTGCTAAACCTCTTAGTGTTTTGTTAGAAAAAGATGTTACTTTGATTTTAGTGAGAAGTGTTTGCAGGCTTTTGAGACATTGAAGAAGGCTCTTATTAGTGCTCCTATTTTGATCGTGCCGGATTGGGAGCAACCGTTTGAGTTGATGTGCGATGCGAGTGATGTAGCCGTGGGGGTCGCTTTGGGTCAAAAGTGAGATAAACTCTTTCGAGTGATTTATAATGCAAGCAAGACGTTGGATCCGGCTCAAGTAAATTACACGACTACGGAGAAAGAGATGCTAGTGGTGGTGTATGCGTTTGACAAGTTTCGACCCTACCTTGTTGGGACGAAGACAATCGTGTTTACCGATCATGCAGCAATTCAACACCTCATGGCGAAGAAGGATGCCAAGCCAAGATTGATTCGATGTGTGCTCTTACTTTAAGAGTTTGATTTAGAAATCCGGTACCGGAAGGGATGCGAGAATGTTGTGGCGGATCATTTATCTCGGTTGGAGGGCCCAGTTAAAGGGGATGATCAGTTGGTCCCTATTAATGAAGATTTTCTGGATGAGCACATGATGCATATTCGAGCTCACCTACCTTGGTACGCCGATTATATGAATTACTTGGTGTCGGGCGTACCACCTCCGGATTTGTCCTATTATGCGAGGAAGAAATTCTTTCATGATGTAAAGTTCTACTATTGGGACGAGCCATACTTATTCCGGAGGTGTGCGGACATGGTTATTAAAAGGTGTGTTCCCGAAGAGGAATGGGGAAAAATCATGAGGCAATGTCATTCATCACTGGGAGGAGGTCACTTCGCGGGAAACCGAACTTCCATCAAGGTGTTGTAAAGCGGCTTCTATTGGCCGTCCATTTATAAAGATTGTCACCGGTTCGTGTTGTCTTGTGATAGGTGCCAACGGACGGGAGGAATTTCTAGGCGAGATGAGATGCCCCTCACCAACATCATTGAGGTGGAACTCTTTGACGTATGGGGGATCGATTTTATGGGACCTTTCCCGGTGTCTTATGGGTCCAAGTATATTCTTTTGGCAGTGGACTATGTTTCGAGATGGGTTGAGGCGGTGCCAACCAAGACGAATGATGCTAAGGAGGTGCTGAAAGTTTTGAGAGCGAATATCCTTACACGCTTTGGGACTCCGAGAGCATTGATTAGTGATGTTAGGTCGCACTTTTGTAATAAGTGGCTTGGAAGTCTCCTTGCCAAGTATGGAGTGAAGCATAAAGTGACGACGACATACCATCCACAAGCTAATGGGCAAGCTGAGTTGGCTAATCGAGAGATCAAGCAAGTGCTCGAGAAGGTCATTGGAAGTCGTAAGGATTGGGTGAATCACCTCAAGAAGCACTTTGGGCTTATCGGACGGCGTACAAGACTCCTCTAGGTATGTCTCCATATCAATTGGTATTTGGTAAATAATGTCACTTGCCTGTTGAATTGGAGCACAAGGCTTATTGGGCTATGAGGAAGATTAATCTCGACTTCAAAAAAGTCGGGCTCGAAAGGAAGTTACAACTCAACGAATTGGACGAGTTTCGCACGGAGGCGTATGAGAGTTCTCGTATCTATAAGGAGAAGACGAAGAGATACCATGACAAATTGATTAGGAAGCGAGAATTTGCTATAGGTGAACAGGTTCTACTCTTCAATTCGCGACTCAGGCTCTTTCCCGGTAAGTTCAAGTCAAGGTGGTCTGGACCGTTCGTAATTACGAAGATGATGGCAAATGGAGCCGTGGAATTGGTGGTAAGTGACAGCACCACATTCGTGGTGAATGCGCAGCGGATTAAGCCATACTTCAGCCCGGAGCAAGCCAAGACGATCTTTATCGTCTATTTGAACGACTAAAGGTCTGCCAGGTATTCGTCTAGCTAAAGACGTTAAATTAAGCGCTTATTGGGAGGCAACCCAATGATTTAGTGTATAGTTTTTCTTTAGAATAGGCTTAGTTCCGTTTTTCATTCAAAAAAAAAAGGGGTTCCAGGACCACACGAGTCGTGTGTCCCAGTGACACGGCTCGTGTGACCTGGGGAAAAATATGAATTTTCGAAGTGTGGCTACGGCTTTTTCACACGACCCGTGTGAGTTTGTGACATGGGTCGTGTGTCTGCACACGGGTCGTGTGATTGTTGGACACGGGTCGTGTGACCCTGGGCGATTTTTTTGCGGATTTTTAATAGCGTCACACGGCTCGTGTGTCCTTTGGACACGGCTCGTGTGACGCCTGGGCAGTTTAAAAAAAAAGGCTTTCTCTTCTTCACTTTCTCAAGCACATGACCGCGCGTCTCTCGTCTCTCTCTCTTGCATCTCTCTCGTGTCTTTCGATTTTTCGATTTATTTTGCTTCTTGTGCTTGATTTCTTCACGAAATTCACACACACACACACACACACACTTTCTAATCTCTTAATTACGAAAATTGCTTGAGAAAGTGAAGGAATTTTGGTGTTCTTAGACCTAGGGTTTACTTGTTGTGGGTTTTTGCTCAAATTCATCGAAGAAGGTACGAATTCTCTTCTTTTTTCTTGTAGTTTCGCGAATTGGATGTTGAATTGAGGTATGGTGGTGCATCTATGATAGTAGCTTGATGTTAGGGTTAAGAACTTGTTGAGGAATTTCATCGAACACTTCATGTGCGAGCTTTCATTGATGATTTTGCACTCTTTTTGGTACAAAATGAACAATCGTAGGCAAACAAGGAATAGCGGGGGTGCCGGTGTCCCACCTCGTGCGAACCGTCCACCGAACCCTCCACAGAATTGTCCACGGGCACGAGCTATTGAGGATGTCGAGGCCGAAGCGACTCCCGGGAGTGAGTTGGGAGTTATACTGCCGCACGACTGGCAGAGAGAGAGATGGACCCGACTCGCAAAGATGGCGATAAGGCCTACACGATATTCGGATGAGGCCACCGAGCGAGCGATTGGCATACATGAGGCGGTGAGGCCTCTGTGGAACAGGATCAGATTGGCTGGAGTCTTCGGTACTCGACCGGGGACGTATAGGAGGATGGTGCTCGAATTTTTTAGCACCGTGGACAAAAAGAAAAGGGCGATGACCAACCAATTGGAGATGATTACCTTTCGGTTGAACAATCAAGATTGGAGTCTCGATGAAGCGGGGCTCAATGCATGTTTTGGAGGACGAGGGGTTTTCATAGACATGAGTACGTATGATGAGTCGGGGTTCTGGCGGTCCATTACGCTGAGTTCTGGAAGAGGAGGAATATTCCAGTTTGCCCGAGGGTCAGTGAAGGCAGCGGACATCCGTAACCCAGTGCTCCGTTATGTGCACCGGGTGATTGCGAGTACGTTGTTCGCTAGGAAGGAGAGTGGGACGGTCATGAAGACCGAAGCCTTCATTCTTTGGAGTTTGATGGAGCAGAGGAAGCCCGGGTTAGGACGGTTCGTCGGCGAGCACTTGTGCCGCATGAGCCGGGGGGAGTCAGACGTGATCCGGTGTGGTGGGACTGTGGCGATGATCGCCGACCATCTGAAGATTGATACGCCGAATGGGAGCGAGTCCGGGGGGATGATTCGCTAGATTTGGCGGCCCTGGTTCACATGAACTATCTGAGGACTGATCTGCGAGGTCAGATGTTCTTCGTACAG